TCATCTGGCTCTATCCTGGGCGATGTGTGTGTCTGCAGAACTGCCTGTTCTCAGCCTCTTACGGGCTGTCTGCTAAATGTTGTTACCCTGCGAGGTGTAACCACACTGTCCCTTCGCACGTAACGCTGGCACAAGCGTCAGAGCCCCATGTCTCGGCGCTGCACCCCACGCCGAGCCGGCACCCGGCGCTCACCCATGCGGCTGTGGTGAGGCAGCCTGCAGCAAACCTTTGCGCGGGAATTGTGTACAGACATGCGAGAGAGAACATTTTGGGAGGGGGAGAAAGACATACCTGCCTCTCCCTTCAAATCCAGCACTTGGCAGTTGTTTGGAAGAGGTCTTTGAAGGCCGTGTGCTCCCAGCCTGGCGCCCACCTCTCCCAACACTTCTCCCGGGACAGACCTGGCCGCAGCTGCAGGTCTTGGCGCTGTGCATCTGCCCCGGGCACGCCAGTCCCCCGCGTCCTGAGCCGCTGTGCAGCCTGTGCCCCCGATGATGCCCGTCTGTGTGCTGCAAGCAGCGAGCCTGGGGTAGGGTAGAGGGCATTGCTGTGGAGATCTCGCAACTATTTAATGACTGTTTTGTCCTTTGCCATACAAATCCTATGGGGAATTATTTTTAGTCCTTTACACAACCAAGTGAGGTGTTTCCCCCTCTGCACGCTCACTGTCCCTTTGGTCCTCTGCCCTGGCAGAGCAGACGTGCTGCTGTGCAGCTGGCGCGGGTGGGCAGCCCTGAACCTGGGGGAGATGTTTGCAGGCGAAGGCTTTGCATGGTTGGCAGGCAGCGGTGGGACGATTGCTTGTGCTGGATTCAAACCTGGTGAAGGAGAAGCAGCTGTGGTCACCATGCTGGCTGCAGCTGCAGACCGGTGCTTCTGCCCAAGGACCGTGGGCAGCGGTGGGCTCGGGCTGCCGAGCGGACCTGGGACAACAGGGGTGGCTTCATAGCTTCTGCTGGAAGAGCAGCTCTGTACAGAGCTTCGAGGATCTTCGTTGTCTGAACACAGATCCAGGGATGGAGCAACCCAGTAGCTGTGGGGGCTACTGGAGGTCCCCCCAGCCGTGCTGAGGTTTTCTATGTGCTGAGCTCTTCTGTTCTGGACTGGGTTGCAGAGCTTGTTCACCAGAACCAGGCAGCTCCGAGAGCACGCTGTGCATGGGGAGTGCCAGGGAGCGTAGGGCCTCCACTGCCTCCATCCCTTGGCAGAAGTGGTTGGATTTATAATTTTCTGCAGTGCTGTAAAGATGAATTGACAGTGTAACAGTGTGGTGGAGTTACAGGAGGATGGTGCAGGGGAAACATGCTCCTGTCTGAACAATCTGTAACTTTATTTTTGTCAGTAATCAATGGAGACTTGGGTATAATGAATAGTAAGAACCTCTTTAAAATTCAGCACCCTTTCACAAGGAAGAAGGTTGGTCTGTCAACTGACTTGCATGTGAAGCTTAGTCTTAAAATGCTTCCTTTTGCTTTAAGCCCTGCATATTTTCAAGGCTACTTTGGGAAGAGAGGAATATTAATATCCGTAAAGCCAAGCTGGGCAGGAATGACCTTTGCCGTGCCAAGACCCCGAGGGGTCTCTGCGGGCTGGGCCAGCCCAGTCTGGCTGCACTGAGGGCATGTTTTTGACAGCAGGGCAAATGCTCGCCCTTAGGGTGCTGGAGCAGCTTCGCTCTTGGACCTCTTACACAGCAGGCCTTTCTTCAAACTTGGGAACTTTCTCTTATCCTAAAAAACCTCTCTTCAAAAGGCTTGAGGCAGTACAGGAAAAGGATTTCTTTTTAAAAGTGATGTTTTTCTTGGAAAAGGAAACGATATTACAGAATTGGGGCTTGGTTAAAACCTTGATGTTATAGAGTGGTGTTAATGGATTAACACACTGACAATGGATAAAAGGTTTGTCCTTAATAAGATGGATGTAGGATGACAGTATCTCCTTGTTTTATGGTTGCATAGTTGACCTCTGCGTGAAATTTCCTTTTCACTGTGTGCATACTTTGCAATTAATGGCATAAGCATATTGTGTTTCCTTGTCTGTCCTTTTCCCTTTTTTTAAAGAACAGTCTCTGATGATTAACAACCTCTCTATTGTTTCATGTAACCAAACTGGAAGAGCAAATATGCAGGCAGACACATTTTTCCCCGTAGCTGATGTGCTGTGCACCATAACTTGAGCTGCATGACTAGTCCTTTAGGCCTGGGCAGCAGAGGAAACCACTGGGAGAAGGACAGCAGATAGCGAATCTGTGCCAGGAAGCTTGTCAGGTGCCAGAGCAAGTGGCTGAAAGCTGGGTTGACCCAGAAGAATTGGAAAATATTTTGGTGTCCCAAGCACAGGAGCTGGTGTGCGCTCAGCAAGGGCAGTGGCCAGGCTGGGACAGCACCCCAGGCCAAGCAGGGTGCTGACTGGGTGGATCTCTTGGGTAGTAACCTGGCTGTAACTGGAAAGCAAGGCTGTAAGAGCCGAGTCACCCTTTTATTGTATATAGTGTTAACCTATATGCCTGGGGTGAGCCAGGGCAGAGTGCAGGGCTTGAAGTCTGCGTGGGATCCCAAGGAAGGGCCATGCATCTGCAAGCCTTTGAATAAGAGTTACCTCAAGCTGTCTCCCTGGTCCCTTCAGCGAGTCTTCAATGCTGGTACTGACGTTGGAGAGAAAAACTTCTTTAGGGAAAGTTGACTTCATGGCCAGGGCTGCTAGGCAGCACCACTGGTGGAGGAGCCCGCTGTTGGTTTCCTTCCCTCTTTTCACTTACTTTATTTTCTTGATATAAACATTGTTCCTGGAGGAAAACTCACGTGCTGACTACAGCTGTTTCTGCTGCTGAATCATCCCTCAGTTCCCAGATGTGGGATGATAGATTTTCTCCTGCAAACAAAAATCTCTACTTTGTCTTGTGTTGCATAGCTAGGTGCCCTGGGAGGGGGAGAGGGAAGGTGCTCCTTGGGAAATATTCCAGGAAGAGCAGGAATTCGTGTTGAGGGGTCACACTCTGCCCAAACCCCCAGTTTTGAGTTACACTGTTAGATTTGTGCTTCCCTGAATGTGTCCTGGGTGGCGGAGCTGATGCAAGCCGTCCTGCCGCCCTCCGGCTGGTGCCAGCACAGCTGGCTGTGGCCTTGCGGTGGATGGCGTCGAGGGACAGCTCTCCCTCCGTTAAAAGATAAACCTGCAGGAGACAAACGAACAAGTTCAGTTCATTCTTTAACGCTGACTAAGTTCCCTCGGGCAGCTCACCGCCCCGACTGGCACGTGCAGCCGGTGTGCAGGGCGAGAGCTGCTCGCGTCTGCTTTGCCACCGCAGAGGTGTTCGTGGAGCTGCAGCTTCGGTGGCTCTCCACAAGGCTGGCACCGTGGCCGACAGGGAGGAGAGCACAGGAATAGCCTGTGTTTTGATGACCTCCAAGGAAGGCATCTGTTTAAGTGGCCTAACGGTGATGTGCTATGTGACACACAGCCTTTTTGTGGGTTTTTTTTGGTATGGGCAACGGGGATATTGGGCTGGTGTTAGGGCACCCAGGGTGAGCGTGGTGGCGAGGTTAGCTGTGGTCAGCAGTGTGTGTGCCTAGCTGCCGCTGGCACCGATCCTTTGAGGACATTATACTGTCCGCTTTCGGCCTCGTGCTTCTGCTGGAGCTTTTGGGGGAAGTCCCGACAGCAGGGACTCTGCTGGAAGCACACAGACCCTCGCACCCAAGGGCAGCTTCTGAATTTCTGTCCTCGGTGTTAATATCATTTATTGGGAGCCTGTGGTGGGAGAGGTCGAGAAACGCTTGCCTGCCTGATTGCAGATCAGAGCCTCTCCTCCTCCCTGCTCTCCTCAGATGTGTCGGCTGTTGCTGCCTTGTGTGTTGCTATCAACATCGCCTTTGGACACTTTCCTTCCTTGCTTGCTATTTCTGGAGGGAGCATGTGATTAAATCAGTTCCCCGTGCTTCGGTCCCGGTGGAAGGGGGCTCCCAGCTTTGTTCCCAGCAGAGGAAGGGTGTGCACGCCGCCGGCTCCGTTTAACAGCCTACACAGGCCTTTTTTCCTGTTTGAATGGATGCTGCCGTGCTCGGCTCCAGCTTGTGATGCTGATGGAGCGCTGATGTGTGTGTGTTTCTGTTGGGGCTCTGGGTTGACGAAGGATTATTTTAAAACATTTTACTCTGTTGAGCTAGAGAAATACAACCTGTCTGAAGGCTGATCTTCTTACAGCCGCAGTTTTCATTATGCTATGCTTTTAAATCATCCTCAAACTGTGATTAAAACCTTCTGCCATTGTTTTTCCCCTTTTTATTGTATCCACTGAAACATTACTTTACTTTAATCTAAAGTAGCCAAGCTGTAGGAGCGATTGGGACAGGGGGAAGAGCACTGGTAGTCGAAGACAGGAGAGTCTTGGGATGAAGCCACAGCGTTGGCTCAGAGGGTGGCTCTGTCGCGGGCAGTGCTGGGTGCATTGCCTCATCCTTCTGCGTTTCAGGTCCTCTCTAAATTATTGACATTTCTTTTCCTCTCTTACTCTACTCTTTGCCTGACTCGTTCATTCAGGCTGTAAGTACTTGTGAGCGAGGGTGGCTTCCTACTCCTTGCCTGAGTTGCACCTACCAGATGTTACTGTCATGCCCGTAAGATGTAAAGGGAATTGTCTGCTTTGCTCTAAGTTTATGTCCTTTATGTGCGTCTTTGAGAAGAGCATAGAGGAGAGGAATGCCCACCTTTGTTTTGTTTAAAAGCCCCTTTAGTTTCTGTTTTTACCTAGTCCATCCCATTTGCATTCTCTTGTTTTAAGAACTGTCCTAGTTGTTATTTTAATACAACTCCAAAGCTGTGGCAACCTGATGTTTTGAATGTAGAAGGCTGTGGTGGTCTTTGGGGACCACGCTGCTGGGGGAGGTCGAGGCGGGTCCTCCTGACAGCCGTCCCCAGTCGGGGTGACACCAGACGTGTCAGCCGTCCCTTACCAGGTGGAGCCAGGGTCTTCATAAGACTTTCTTCTTGTGTTTTCCAGGTCTACAACTCGAACAAGGACAACCAAAGCGAAGGCAGTAAGTATTTCTTTTCAAGCCAGACCCCTGAGATGGTGGCTGTGCTGTGTGGTGTGCAGACTTTGGCGGGTCAGCAGGAGAGGCTGAGCTGCCAGCGGTGGGGACACCGGGATGTGCTGTGCTCCCCTGGGCCAGGGGTCCGGGGTGATGGGGCTTGGCGTGGGGACTGCAGGGTGGCCCCAGGAAAGAGCCGGCTCTGGTGCCCAGCAGGGAACTGGTGCAGAAACTTGGTGGTGGGGCTTGGGGCCGTGGAGGGCGGTGCCAAGCCGTTCCCTTGGCACTTTGGGGTGCATCCCCTCCTGCCTGCCCCGCACCCTGGTGTCCCCCGGCCGCAGCAGCGGTGCAGGGGGTGCTGGCGTGCCTTGGGACCGGCTCCTTTTGCTTATCAGAGCCAACGAGTGCAGGTGGCATCTTGGACCAACCAGCTCTCCTTTCTGAACCAGAATGTGGAGGATGAACATTCCTTTTCCAAAGGGGAACTAGAGCAAAAATATAAAGAGTAGGGAGGTCCCGCCTAATCAGGATTGTCAACAAGAGCCCCTGAAAAAAAAAGCTGTTTTTATTGTAGTTCGGGCAATCAAAGACTTGAGTCAAGAAAGCACTTGGTTTTCTTCCTTGAGGAGCAGTTGCACCTGGTCCTGGCTCTAATGTCCTGTGTTTCAAAACCCTTAATTGAGCCATTTCCCAGTAGGTTTGAATTGCCATAATTGCAATACTCAAAACTCTGATCCCTTCCCTCCTTCCCCCAGTCATCGGTCGCACGGGAGCCCAGCCCCGGTTGATGGTTAGTAAATAGTTCATTTTTATGCTGCCTCAGACAGGGCATTTTCATCTTGAGTAGGAGCATATTTCTCATAATAATAGGTATAATTTGCAGATAGTGTTCCTCACACCCATTTTCAGCCCTTGCACAAAACAGTCTCTTCCTCCTCTCTGCTTTCTCTGATGTGGCTTCTCCCTTCCCTGTTGGTCCTCCATGTTGTCATCTGCACATCCATCTCATCCCGTATGTATTCCTCTTGGCTTTATGCAATTCAGATGATCCTTGCAGAGTTAAATGCTGTGCCTCACACTCGTGAAGGACAGTATGGCTAATGCCCCAGCTGGATATGAAGTCTGTGTAGAACAGCTCCACCTTTTCTCAATTTTACAGAGGGGCAAAATGAGTTTTTTGAGGCACAGACAACAGGACTTGCTCAACTCTGTCCTAGCCTGGCCATGAACTGTCACTGCTCTGTGTTCCCTGCACACAACCTCTGTCTCTGCCAGGACAGTACGTGGTGATTTGGCTCAAGAAATGTGTTAAAGTAACCATTTTCTTAACTTTGTTGAGGGGTGATGCAAAAGCAGGGAAAACATTAGGGATGGGGATGGGAGGAAGGATTGGTGAAGCAATTGGTGAAGTAATTACCGCTTCTGAAAGAAGCACTTGTCAAACCGTGACCTTCCCATCTTACGTGCTGTCAGCCAGAAATCCTCCTGGGGCTGTGACTTACGCTGGAGTCATCCTGCAAAGTAATGGCAGCTCTTTTAGAGATGGTAAGGGCTCGAGTCAAGTGTGCCCATGACTTTCCCAGGGTTATTTGTATTGTCTAATCCTGGTCTTCAGCGGCCAAGCTTGCAACAGATCCCAAGCTGGGGCTCCTAAATGCCTCTTTAGGGTTTCCTTGGGTAAGGGCTGTCTGGGTGACGGTGCTCCCCCCGGGCTCTTCACTGCCAGGCTGTTTCTGCCCCCTCAGCCCGGGCTTCTGCCCGTGGTTAGTTGTGCACAGCCTCATCGAGGGCCCGCGTTACCAGGGGTGTGGGCAGGACCAGGCTGGCCTGCAGGCAGCATGGGGCCGCAGGCAGCACGGACCTGCCTGCTGTGGCCGCTGCTGGCATATAAATAGCTTATTTTCATAGGCTTAATCTGAGACGGGTGTATGTGTTGGAGGGGAATGTCTCGCTCCGTCGGGCGCTGAGCTGACGGGTGGGCTGTGGCTCCGTGGCGCAGCCCGGCAGGATGCGCTGCCCACGTGCCCGCTGCCCAGAACGGGCTGAGCGGTTCTGCTGACCCCTGCTGCTCTTTGGCCACGGCATGTGGGTGCGTTGCTTTGCCAGCCGCTAGACAGATCCCTAGCTGGATGCCCACATGGGGTGTGCTGGAGGCTGGTGGCTTTGAGGAGAAAGCCGGTTTGTCCCCAGGCTGGCGGCAGCTCCCACATTTGCCTCCCGTGTCGGTTCCCAGCCCGGCACTGGGCTGCCTGTGCCGCTCTGGAAAGTTGTTTGTTTGTAGTGCTGGTGGTGACTGCAGCCCACGCTTCGGTCATGCCTCTCTGAAGCAGCTCAGCTTTTGGCAAAGTGTAGCGAGACTTTGACGAAGACACCAAATGCCAAGTTTTTCCCTGCGCGTCTTCACCAGACGAGTACGAAGTTGGGGTTTAATCAATCGAGGAGGCTTTGGCAAAGTTTTTTATCTTATAGTACTTCTTCTATTTTGATGGGCCGTCTTAAAAACGAGAACAATCCTCCTTTTCTGCTCCCCCTGCTTTGGGGAGTGCGTTGGGACCCTCGGCTGAAGGCTGCTTACGTAGCAGCGCTCCTGAACCGCCTGGTGGCAATTATTTTCACATACGCCTCTGACTGGGGCTGCCGCTGGTATGTTCAGACATCTGACTCTGCTTTAGCCCTCATTAAAACCATGTCTGTAGTGAACTGCTTGCTTCACCAGCTACACTTAAAATTGATTCGGAGGCTGGCTTTTTGCCACGCAGCCCTTGATACAAGAGCTTCCTATAAGGACTCAAATTGAGTGCAGTGATTGAGTGGAGTCCGGATGCAATTCCTGACCCTGAAAACCTATATACCTCTGCTTCCTGCCCATACTTAGGTTAGTCTGAGAGAAACTCGCAGTGCTATAGTGAGGTCTGCTTTTTGGCCACTAACTAATTTTACAGAGCTTTTGGGTTTTACATCCTGCTGTGTGGCCAGATGGCCATCGGCCTACAGGGTGATTTATCTTAATCTTCTTTGGGAGCTGAGAGGAAGCAGTGCTGAGCGGTGGGGTGAGCGGGTGTCAGTGAACTGCTAGAGCCAGATGAATTTAGATGCACTAGTTCGTAAACCAGGAGGACTTGCCCTGCTCTGTGGAAACAAATCCTCCAGGCCATTTGTGCTTATTGCATGGAGAAACACAGAACTCCTCCTTTCCTTTCCTCTCCCCACCATTTCCCTCTCCTTTTTCCATATCCAGTTGGTTCCCTATTAGTTCAGGACCCCATCAAAAGCTGTCTTTGTTTTCATAAGCTCTTCACAGACCTTGAGTCCCTTGACTGCCCCGTCTGCTGGTGCCTAGCCCTCCCCAGCAATCTTCATTTCCCAATCTTAGCAGCTCACTGGTAGTTTGAGACTTGAAGTAAGGCTTGAAACCTCATTTCTCTCTGGTCTCTGCTTCTTGGTTTCTCCCTTTCTCTGTGGCTCTTAATTCCATAAAGTCTTTGAAAGAGTTCATAAGAATAATCATCGTGGCACTTCGTTACACGGCACAGAAACGTGTGGTGGGGTATGCGGAAAAGCTTGCTTTGACCTTGCATTGCCGTGACCGACACGCACACAGCTAGAGTCAGCAAGGTTGTCTGAGGCTGAACAGAGCTGATTCAGTCTTCTTGCCCCTTTACCGATGCTCTGATATGCCATATCAGTGTAAAGGAATTAATGGATTAAATAGAAATAATCTGCTAGGCAAACATAGAACAGGATGAGACCAGCTCAGTTGCACGATGCTATACGAAGGTCAGATAAGAGTGTGTGTGTGTGCAACAGTTGTAATACAAGCGATGTGTATCATCTTTGCTGATATAAAATATTTCTCTGCTTGATAACAGTGTATCACTGCATCTCAGTTGTGCATTGAAATGCTGCCCTTGTATGAAGAGCCTGGGACATGTATCTTGACCTGGGGCTGTGTTTCACATCTTTCCCCTGGGGAATGAGAGGCTCAAGGGAGGGGGAATAGCAGGAGGCAGGGCTGTAGGCTTTGCCCCTGCAACACGTTTGAATGCATGAACAAAGGAAAATACTGCCTAAGATAATAAAAGAGTCTGTAAATCCACTCCCTCTTATGACTGAGAGGCCATTTTAAACATATAGGATGGGGATTAGGGATGCCTGTTGTGAAGAGCGGAGGAGCATGTTGGCCATGCTTTTCTGTGGCAGCCCCAAGAGTTTGCTCTTCCCTGCTGCCTTCCCTCTCTCGTTTCCTGACCCCGGCTGATGGCAGGAGGCAGCTCCACAGCGATTTAGGTCCATCTGAGCGTGGGCTGTGGGTCCCGTCTCCTGCCTCTGCCTTGCTGCAGCAGCAGCTCTCACTGAGGTCAGCGGCTGAAGACTTGGGTTTCGTGGGGTTTTGATGGAGCGCTTTTTTTCCTTCTTTTTTTTCTTAATCTTGCTGAACCATGTCATTGCACTAGTCCTACTGTCAAGGCTTGGAGGAGAGCAGGGACGAGGATGGGGCTGTAACTGGCCAGACTCGGTTTGGCCGAAGCTGCTGGGACCGCAGACCCTGCATTTCCTATGGGCACGCTCATACAGCGTTGCGCTCTCCAGCCCTGAAAGGCCATCGGTTGCCCCTTCCTTTCTCCCTGCTTCCTGACCTGCAGCTGCTATCAAATTGAAGCTAAGTGGGGTCTAAGCGGCTGAACCAAAGCTCAGGCCTGTGAATCACTTTGCTGCTGGGGTGAATGGAGCAAGTGTAAAGACCGGGACAGCAATAGATACAAATCTGACTTTGATCTGTGCTGTTGCTGAACTGAATCATTGGGTAAATGAGTGAGATAAAGAGAAGCTGCTTCTGTGAGAGGGGAAATCAAGCTTTTACAATGCTCATTAAAAGTTAAATTTAAGGATGAATAAAGGCACTTTGGATATTTAATCAGATATTATTTCTGGATATAACTACTGCAAATAAATCCCCGACCTTTCCTGATCCAGAGCTCAGCAACGAGTGGAAGAGCTTATTCATCTACTTGAGAGGATTATGCTTGGCCACTTCCACCCAGAAGGACTGCTTCTGTTTCTTAGCTCTGCTATTGCTGAGTGCTGCGGAAAGGTGGGGTCCCAACTTCTTGCTCAGCGGTGGAGTGGTGGGCTTTGCAGGGGAGGGCACGCGTCTGTAGGTGTCATCTGTTCAAGTTCAAACATGCAGGGGACTGAGGGAAAACTGCTGGTTTATGGAACGGGTTGGCACTTAAACCGCGTGGCAGAGAGCCTGAAATGGTGATCAGTGTTGGCTGGACAACACCGTGCAGGGGTACCAAAAGATCAGGGTTAGGGCCAGTACTAAGCCAAGGCTAATAGGGCCAGCTGAACCGGGTTTGTCTGTATGAAAGGGTTTCTACACCGTGGTTTCTTGCTTCTCAGGTACCCTTGTGCTTGTGTTTATCAGTGATTGGCGGTATGGTAGGCTTTGCCCCACTGATTGATGGCACGTTGATTTTATGCTGCATCCGTGCTTGGAGAGTGGTTGGAAGCAGTGCTGGAGAGCCCTCCAGGTGCCTAGCAAAGGGCCCTGGAGCTTCTGGATATTCGCACATCCTATGGCACAGGCATCCTGCAACTTGTGTGCTTATGTTGGCTCAGCACTTCAGTATGCTTGCCCAGAAAAATATAATAGAGCTGTTTTACTGTTTCACTGTTTCAGGTTCTTGTGCCATTCATCACACAAGAGACACCACCAGCAGAGAACTCAAAACAAGTGATTAGTAAGGGGCTGCACCATGCAAGCCATAGGCAGCCAGTGAGCTGGCAGCTTATTGTGCACCAGCAGTGAATCCGTGTTTAAGTAAGCGATGTGAACAGGGGAAATGCAAAGGAATAAAATTGCACGTGCCTTGCTGTGAGGACACTGCCAGCCCTGGGCGCTGATCCCTTCCTGCTGTGCTCTTGATAAAATGCAGTTTTAAAAATCTGCTTTTAAGCTAACGCTACACCTTTTCTACCTTCTGGAGTTCAACATCTTAAACCGCGCAGCCATGCTGTATGCAGCCGTGCTGTATGATCCTCTGTCAGGCACTGCCGGGAAAATCCCGCACCTTCCGCGTGGCAGCCGGGGAGCAGAGTGGGTCGGTGGCTCTACCCCAGTCCCTGCTGATGCTCCTCCCGTCTGCTGGGTCCGCACTGCTGTGGGAGGTGGGATGGCATTGGGGGCAGGTGCATCCCCGCCAGCTCGAGGGCCAGCCGGGGCGAAAGGCCGGCAGCAGAGGTTTGGCTCGAGGCGGCATGAGGGAGGGGGGCGGGCTGCGTGCCCTGCCTCCCCCAGCCTCTGCCCGGGATGCTCATCCCAGCCCTGGAGCCCGGGGTGACTTTGCACACCCTTCTCTGTGGGGCTTCTGCCATATGAAAGGTTTCCCAAACCTTTATATAGGGAGGAAGTAATTTTCCTTAACAAATAGCTGTCTGCAGGCAGTGTTTTCCACGCAGCGGTGGAAAGCTGACTAAGGGATGAATTCTTCCAGCAGGTATTTGGATCCGCATATTAGTAATTCCTTGAAATTAAATGTGAAAACCTGCAACGGCGTGAGTTAATTGAGCTTTACATTCCATTAACTGGAATGTTTTAGAACTTACTCTCAGGCAGAGTCAGCTGCCTTCAGGACATCCTAATTTGCACCAACTAAATATTTCATTAGTGCTAATAAAAGAAGGGGCTGTTCTTGAACTGTGCACATCTGCGTAGAGTGAGGGTAAATGGGATGTAATGTATAGTGTTCATGAGACAATATTGTTTAGCCGGGCTTTGCATTGCCGGGGGGGCAGGAGTGTCTGCCTCAAGTGTGGTGCAGGCAGGGTGCAAGCATCGGTGGGGGTCCAGGGCTGGCGCTTGCTGGCTCCCCAGGGACAGGTCCCCTCCCGCTGGGCACAGGAGACGCTTTGGACAGAGGTTTGACCCAAAATTTGTTCCCATCTCCCAGTCCCTATTGCTCTTCCACCACCACATGCCATCAGCTCCCTCCTCTTTCTGTTATGTTTTTACCTCCATGCTTTCTTTGGATTTCTTTACTCCATTTTCCTTCACAGAAAGATATTGCTGTTCACAGTTACCTCCTGCTTCTCTCTTCCACTCATTTATCTCCCAGTTCTCCTTTACCGTCACTTTTTAATGCTCTAACCTGTCATATGGTTTGTCCTTGAAAAAACCTGCATCTGCACAAAACCGCCTCAAAAGCCCCAAGAAGAAATCCAAGGCACCAAAGGCCCCTGCCCCAGGCAAAGCCTGGGAGGTCAGTCCCGTACCCCAGATACGCAGGCGGTCCCCAGTATGGGGTGACGGAGACGGTCTTGAGATGAAGGTGTCTCTCCAGCACATAGATGGCTTGGTTAGCTGGGTGGAGAGCTGAAAGGATTTATAGGAATTACCTGGGACTCATCAAGCGAGCTGCCTCGTGTGCCGTTTTCAAGGATTTGTTGTGTCATATATGATTCCCTTTTTTACCAAGGGAAAAAGAAAAAGGTCTCTTCAGGTTATCTCACCTTCATCCTAAATTAATATTTTGACCAACTGCAGACGTAAATCTCTGACAGAGCCCGCGGCTCTGCTGCTTGGCAGGCGTGGGAGGTGCTGGTTCAGAGGGATGCGGAGGCTGAAATGACAGATTAGTGTTCTGCGCTCGCCTGGGTTACACCTGGCACAAGCTACTGTACTTACGCCTTTCCTCCGTGAACAGCTAATTTATCTCCTTCTCCTTTCTCCCCCCCTTGTTTGAGCAGTGGTACAGTATTGCTGTGAATGTCAGCAACGACTGCGGGATGAGCATTGTGATCAGCGTGAAGCCATCCCTCTGCTAGGTGTTTATCACTTCTCTCTTCTCTTCCCTTTCAGCTGCCCAGTTGGATAACATCGGCTTCAGCATTATCAAGAAATGCATACATGCTGTTGAAACAAGAGGTAGAGCAGTTCACCAGATGGTCTTGTTTTGGGGGGCAGCCTTGCAGCTGCTTGCAGCATAGCAATTGCTTACCTGCTCTTTTCATCAACAAAAATGATGCATTAACTCTCGGAGACCCACATCAGATAAACCCTGTAATATGCTCAGGCTGAGACATGCGTTTGCCCTGTGGCTGGGGTTAGCAGGGGTTCAGCAAACGTCAGGGGCAGAGTTAGGAGATAATGCACTGGTCGTGCAAAATGGGGGAAGGGACCGAAGCTGGGGACTTCATTTGAGCATCCCTTCGTGCGGTATCACTGCAAAGCATTTCCTCTCATGTGGGACAACAAATAGATCTGCATTTCAATCCTTCCCCTAAATCTCTTGCAAAGAATATTTATATACAGATGGGCTATCTTGTTGGCATCTGGATGACATCAAAACCAAATTTTACCCTCTTCTATAATTTTGTGTGTAGTTGGTGGGAGGGTTTAATTATTTTTGCTATTAGAGAAGCCAAAGAAATGAAAGAAATGTTAGTAGCTCTCTTGACGTTCTCCTAATAAGCTCTTTATTTTTCCTAGGGATCAATGAGCAAGGGCTCTACCGAATCGTTGGAGTAAACTCTAGAGTTCAAAAGCTGTTGAGTATATTAATGGGTAAGTATCTTGTATTTTGTTAAAGGCAAGTAGATTGTGCTGCTTTGAAGTCTTGCCAGCCAAGAACGGAGGCTCTTGTCGGGGTACCTAATCGTGGTGAATGTGCTCTTAGGGCCACATGCTGTTAGAGGCCGGGAGGTCCCGGGGCACCACTAGCAGGTTGCTAAGGTAGGACTCATGTAGGGCATTGCTTTAAAAGGTCTTCTGGTGCAGTCACTGGTGTCCTGCTCACATGCGTTACAAATTTTGGCAGCCTTCCAAATGCAAACTAAAATCTTCAAAGAAATAGCTGAAAGCTTTGGTTTTTAATCTCATACCTGCCACGTTCCCAGAATACTTTTTAATTATTTTCTCTTGTGTGTTGCATGCTGCCTGTGGCTCTTCTTACTTTCCCCTTGGACTTTCTTGTGCCTGTTTTAACACGGTCTTGCCCAGACCTTTCAAGCATGCGTTTCACTCATGCCTGAGGCATAGGGTCCTGCGGTTCTGGGTGCTCGGGAGGAGAGAAGGTGTCGGGTCACGCCACGGCAGAGCTTGGTGTTGACATTGTGGGGCTCCTTTGAGCACTGGCCCTGGTGTGCAGCCATCCTGCAGCTGCCCAGCAGCCCTCAGAAACCTTTCCCCACCTCTGAGAAGATATGGTGGCAAGAGAGAGGCTGTGGTGTTTGCTACAGGTGCCTTTGTGCTCTGAACTGGCATACCCATGGGCTTGATCTGAGCACCGAAACGTGCAGGAGCAAACAGGTCTTGCGATTGTCAGGGAGCTGGTAGTTGTTCCTGGTGCAGGTCTGGGACCACTATGGCTGACTTTTCCTGGAGCGGTTCCTTGTCGGTGGTGTTGGGTTTCCATCACCCCATAGCCGTGCAAAGCCCTACGTTGGGTCACGCTTGTTGGGCTGCATTGGAGAATCTGTAGCTTGACTCCCAGCCCAGCTTCTGTGTTAACTATAGCCCAGGGGTTATACTTGACCCAAAAAGAAGTGCGAGCCATTCCCCTCTGTGGTCTTTTCGCTACTTTCCCAGGCCTTGGCCCCTCCAGCAGAACCACCCCTGCTCCCTGTGCCCTTGTCTGTGGTCCAGGCTGGTGCTGAGGTTGGCTATGGCTGTGTGTGACCAAACCATTTCATCCCCTGAACTAGCAGGCGGCATTTCCGTCCCACAGCTACGGCTCTGCGGGAGTCTGTCCGTCTGGACATGCATGAGACACACATTTGAAGAACCATTTTGAGAAAACACACTTGGGTTGGAGCAGCAGCAGCTGCCCTCTGCCAGTCTCATCTAATGCTTCTCAGGCTTGGCAAAACCATGTATGAAATAGGTGTAATAATGGGGAAACAAATGCTTAATAATTTGTTAGCGCCCTTATGAATGTGTTTGCTACTACTTGGGGGAAATGAGTGACATTTGTGGTGGTCTTCCTCTTTCCATTCGCTTATTGTCATTCCTTTGCAACGTGACTTCCTTCACAAAATGCCAGTGCTCCTTTCTCTGTGTATTTCTCCTTGCAAAAAGTTTTAATCTGTTGTGTTTCACTTCCAAGATCTTTCCTTCTCCTCTTCCAATTCCCCCTTCTTTTCCCACCATTAAGATGTTCACTGAGCAAAGCCCATGGTGGCTGTTACAGTTGTCAGCGTTAACCTATGCAAAATTGATAATCTAGGCATAATTAGGAAACAGAAGGGTAAGGCTCTAAATCAGAGGCTGACACAAGGGGACCTCTCTGCACTAGTTTTGCTCTGGCATTTGGAAAGCTCGCTGCAGTCACAAGAGCTGGTGACTGGCTCTTTCTCTTTTATTAGTAGAAGTTTGGCATAGGTTCTGGGGCATGTGAATATGTCCTGCTAGCCACCCAAGTACAGCAGATAAGCCAGAGCTGTCTCATGGCACACACATTTGGCACTATTGCGTTAGAGCATGGGTTAAAGAGTATTGCTGCCCACCGATAAAAATAGACTGGGGATTGGGTGCCCCACGGTGCAGCAGGTCTGACATGCCAGGTCCTCTGCTTATGCTTTTCGTGCCGGTGTGCATCATCTCGCTAGCTAGCAGGGCAACGGATCCTGTTTTCTTCTTGCAAGGGCGGTCTCGGGCTGTGTCAGTTCTGGGTCGAGGCGGCGGGGCTGTGACAGATGGCAAAACTTGCTTGGTTTAAGAGCTCTCCGGAGCTGGGAGGGATTCAAAGTTTTGGACACCATCCAGCATCCATTATCTCCTCAACGACTGAAGCCACTCAGCTGTCGACCTCATGTCTCATAATGCAGTGATATATCGTTGGTGGTTTTTCTTTGTCCCGGCACGTCTCCATTAGTTGTCGGTGCTGGAAGCCCCATTAGAGGTGAGTGCGTGCCGGGGGCTGCTGCTCGGCCGGCCTGGTGGGTGCTGGAAGCGTCACCCCCTTTGGGGATCTCCTGTGCCGTCGATCGCCGGGACGCTTTACGAACCCCTGACTTGGTATCTTTCTCTGAGTTGCAGGCGACTAAATCATCTCCGACAATCCCAGCGTTCAGGCTGTCTGTGAAGTCGGTGTCAAATGGAAACGTGTCCGTTGTCAAATCCTCTTCTGTTCTGGGCTGTCCCTCGAGGCTCTGACCTCCTGCCGGTAGCGGCACCGCTCCGCTCAAACTTCATGTTCGGATCCAACCCTTGTGAACTGCAGAGCCAAGTTGTGCTTACAACTTCAGGTTTCTCTTATATTTAGAAATGAATGTGGTCAGCGTTACTGATTCACATACAGTTTAAATGGCAAAAAGATCAAGTTTCCTTGCGCGGTGGCTGGTGTCAGTGACGCTGTCGGGAAGGCCTTTGGCACGAGGTGTCTCTGCAGGAGATCGGCTCTGTGCTCGGCTGACCGCGGAGCAGAGCCTTCCCGTGGGCAGCAGCCGGGTCAGGGACAGCGCAGGTCTCGGGCTTAGGCAGAACAGCTTGTCTTTGTCTAAACCGGGGCGAAGCGGGGAGGGGTCCCTCCTCCCGGGGCTCATGGGAGGCAGGTCATCCATGGCAGAGCACACTGCCTTTCCCTAGCCTTCACCATCACCATGCGCCATCAAAATGAGGGCAAAACCCAACAAATAAACAAACTTTTCATGAAAGGGTTTATTGTGGAGGTGTGTGTGCACAGGACAGTGGTGGTACTGGCAGATCCGCTGCTGAAACCCTGCACTGAGATGAGTGGAGCGTTACAGCGTCTGATCTGCTCTTCTCGCTCCTTCCCAACGTGAGCCATAAGGGCCGGTGAGTGGGGCTCCCTATGGCTCCTCACTGCTGGGATAAAACGTGCCCCATGGCTGTTTTGGAAATCTCTTGAGCCACCCAAGCACGGGTGAGAATTACGGCTGGGCGATGAGGTTGTGCCCCAGGCGGTTCCCCTGGCCGTGGAGAAATTGGTGAGGAATTGAAACCAGCTGTCTTACGGCAGCGGCTTTCTCCATCCCTAGGAAGTAGATGGAGAAGTTCCTTAGAAAGGGCTTCGGGCAGTGGCCGTGCAGGATGGGCTGTGCAGCAGCCGGGGCCGGCGGGGGGGGGCGCCCCCGGGGG